AGATGAGAACTGGCGACTTTGTAGTACAACTTTAGTACGCGGAGCAAGCTGTGGAGCTGGAAGCTGAGAACTGGCGACTTTGTAGTACAACTTGAGTACGCGGCTGAGTCATCGCTCGCGCCTTCTCTGGCGCCCCTGCAGCTGAGTCATGTCTCCCGACCACCCGGCTCTCTTGAGAGGTTGACAAATTTTAGCTACTTTGCTTACTCATAAGTGGCTGCCACAAAAGAGTCATCGTGACGTTAGTATGTGTGTACTTCACCTTCATGACAAACGATGTTCGCTTGGAATACACGAGTCGCTTGTCATGATCGTGACGTCGTTTACTCTCAGGTCGCCCTGCTCGTGGAAACTTCAGTGTGAAATGTACGTTCTTCAGTTCTAGTTGAGCCTCTTCAGCGTTGTACTTGCACAACTAAAGTTGACGTTGCATTGCCGTTGCATCGACGCATCTACGTCTACACCCCCTCACCTCTCTACATTTACATCTTCACACGCTCACGTCCGCAGATCTACCTCTCCACCCCACCACACCCACACATCTGCACATCTATATCATATCTGTACATCCACACTGTCGCTCCTTCACATCTGTCCTGTCTTTCTTTCTTTCTTTCTACATATCTTTTCTTTCGTCTCTGTGCATTTACATCTTCGCACGCTCACATCCACAGATCTACCTCTCCACCTCCATACATCTACAGATCTATATCGCACCTGCGCATCACACTGTCACTCCTTCACATCCACCCTCTCTTTCTCTCTTTCTATACATCTTTTCGACAGTGCTGGACAATTACATGTCTCGCTCTCGGGCCAACCGTCGTCTAGTTCATTTTTGCTTCTTGAATCACAAGGTATTGAAGCACACTGACTGACTTTCGCATGTTTTGTGATTTTCCACTTGTTCATTCTTTCTTGGCTTCTTGGCTCTAGAAAGAACACATAACGTACTTTCTTCAACTGCAACACCCAGCCCACGAGGCAGTTCTGCGGAAGGCAGGGTCAACTGACAACGAAAGGAAATTTGGGACCAAGACGAATCAAGTCAAGCAGTTTGCGCATTTTTCGCTTTCGTCGCGGTTCCAGATTGTTGCAGAAAAAAGATGTGACAGGCACAGCCGTCAGACTCACAGCCTGCAAATGCACCGCCGCAGGCGTGAAGTCACTGAAGTCACGTGTGCACAAAATGACACAGACTAAGATTTGTATTGCTTCTGCCGAACAACTGATGACCCTGGACACTGGACGGTGGCAAATTGTGGCACACAATCATTCCGGCACTATGGCCTTGTGTCTTCCGCAAAGCCAGGGCACTAGCCATGCAAATGCAGAGGCAGACAGAGTCAGACTGAGACGGCAGAGCCATGTAAACAAGTCGAAACAACAAAACTGCAGGAAAAATACATAAAAATACATTTTGAACCATGTTCGGTCTGGCACACAGATGTGTGCACGGCATTAAACATGCAAATATGCGTTTTTGCATCGGAGTGACGTGGGTTTAGATCATTCTTATTGATCATGTGATCACTGGCCTCCAGCTCTGGCTCTTCATTTTGGGCTTCATCTTGGTGGCGCTGATCATTGCCGTTCTGATTTGGCTATTCATGGCACGCCGATGTACTTTTTGTCGGAGCAGGGAGTTGGCAAGGATTTCTAACTGACTGAACAAGTTTTTTCTTGTTCCTAGTAGTAACAAGTGCATCGCTAGTAGTAACAAGTGCCTTACTACTAGTAACAAGAAGCTAGTAGAAACAATTTCACTAGACTTGTCCTCGTCGATCCCTTGAGCAGGGCGCGTCTGTGAAGAAGGCCAGCATTTCTCAAGACTTGGACTGAGTTGTTTTGGCAAAGCCAAGTTAGGTTGGGAGGCCATCGCTAGTAGGTTGGAGGCCATCACCAGTTCGCAATTAGCTTGGAGGCCATTGCTACTAATTCGGTTTCAGGCCATTGCTCTTAGGTTGCACTGAGCTGGAACATTTTTCCTTCACGGCGTCTCATCGGCAGGTCTCCTTCACGAAGAAGGCTGAGACTAAGCAAGGCCAATTCCGGAAGCTCGGGGACGAGGAGCTGCGCCAAGGGAAAGTATTGTTCTTGCAAAAGGAAAACCACACACTTATAGAAATGCATACTGACTTGAAAGCGGTTGCCACACGCCAACCTAGGTAACCAAGTGTCTAAGGGTTCAGGTGAGTTACAAAACTGAAAGACTCCACGAAACCTCCAATGCCTCCAGAGCAAAACCGAAGTGACTTGCCGCTGCATTAGCCCTTAATCGCAAAGACACGAAGTGCAGAAACAACGTATTGGACAGCTTTTGCCATACTTAGGTTCTCGAAGGCAGGTACACCAGGTTGGTCAGACCTGGCTTCCACCATCACGCATAGCTTCGTTGGCATGCGTTTGCGTGATGGCCGCATGCGCCCTGCTGAGAAAACTCAAGAAGCAAGAACAATCCGACAGGATCCCTGTGATTCCAAGGGGCGCGCACACACACACGCCTCCCCGAGGGGAGGCGTTCTTTTTCAGTTAAGCTCCGGACGAGGGTGAGGTAGGGTGAAAATTGAACCTACGAGAAGCGGTGAGAGAGAGAGAGAGAGAGAGAAAGAGAGAGAAAAGAGAGAGAAGAGAGAGAAGATGGAGAAGAGAGAGAAGAGAGAGAAGAGAGAGAGAGAGAGAGAGAAAAGAGAGAGACAGAGGTGCTCCCAGCTACGACACAAGCGTCCAGGGACACACCAAACAGCAAAAGAGGCGCCCCCAGCTACGACGCAAGCATCGGCCACGTACGCCGCGCCAAAATGGCTGGCAGCATTGACCGCTGTGGTCACGTAAAGGCAGGAGCCATTTTAGAAGGCAATAGTTCAGCAAGTCTTGGCAAATTACTTTGGCCTAAGCCTACTTTGTCCGCTGCGGACTACTTTGTATCCGGGCAGGGGGTACGTTCGACAAACACCCGTTCGACGGGTCCACAGGGGCCACTCTGCGGGTCACCCCGGGCTCTCGCGAGGAGAGACACACTTATAGAAATGCATACTGATTTGAAAGCGGTTGCCGCGCGCCAACCTAGGTAACCAAGTGCCTAAGGGTTCAGGTGAGTTACAAAACTGAAAGACTCCACGAAACCTCCAATGCCTCCAGAGCAAACCCGAAATGACTTGCCGCTGCGTTAGCCCTTTAATCGCAAAGACACGAAGTGCAGAAACAACGTATTGGACAGCTTTTGCTTTACTTAGGTTCTCAAAGGCAGGTACGCCAGGTTGATCAGACCTGGCTTCCACCATCACGCATAGCTTCGTTGGCATGCGTTTGCGTGATGGCCGCATGCCCCCTGCTGAGAAAACTCATAAGAACAATCCGACAGGATCCCTGTGATTCCAAGGGGCACACACACACTATTCAACCGATTGTTTTTTGATGGTATGTGTATTGTGTATTTTCCCCCACATCTTAGTGTGGGGTTATTCTTTTCTATCTCGCATCCCGCCTCCCGCCGCCGCCGCCTCCCGCCACCGAGACAACACACACCGAGACAACACACACACAGAGATCACAACACAGAGATCACACACACACAGAGATCACACACACCGAGACAACACATACCGAGACAACACACACAGAGATCACACAGAGATCACACGCACAGAGATCACACACACCGAGACAACACATACCGAGACAACACACACAGGGACCACACACACACCGAGACCACACCGAGACCACACACACAGAGACAGCCGCCACCTCCCGCCACCGAGACAACGCACACCGAGACAACACACACAGAGATCACAACACAGAGATCACACACACAGAGATCACACACACCGAGACAACACATACCGAGACAACACACACAGAGATCACACAGAGATCACACACACACAGAGATCACACACACACCGAGACAACACATACTGAGACAACACACACAGAGATCACACACACCGAGACCACACCGAGACCACACACACAGAGACAACACACACCGAGACCACACAGACAGAGA